GCCCTGCATTAATAAGACTCAGCTCGAGCTGCGGGCGAGCCACCCTCGTTGGGTTTTTTTCAGCTTTTTTTCTGCTTATTTTCTTATGTTTGTGTGGAGTGCTCGCATTCATTTGCATTTATGTTTTATGCCAACTAATTTGAAGCTCTGCCAGCGCTAACAAAACAAAATCAGCGTCAGCCTCCTCCACTCACGCCGACTGACGCGCAGGTGGCAAGGCGTCCAAGTGCATTTTGCATGTTGTTGTTGTTGCTGTTGCTGCAACAAAAGGCAACAGAGACGGCGAGGCGAGGCGCCGCGCTCCGTGCGCACACACATACGCATACAATATGCATACTCATTAGTTTGGAGTGGTTCCGTCAACAACGTAAGATGCCACGCCCCGCGCCGCTACATACGCCTCCATATCATCATCCAGCTGTCGACTTGTCAGTCAGTCCTCATCATCATCAGCGGCTGCAAAGCATTCTCAATCCCAGGCAGCTTTTGCTGCTTCTATTTGTCAGTCTGTCTGTCTGCTCACTCCTACTCCTACTCCCACTCCTCCTCTCTCTCTCTCTCTCTCTCTCTCACTCACTGTCCCGCTCCAAAATAAACAAACTCTTTTGCGCCTGCCTCGCCTTTTAAGTTGCAGCCAATTGTTATTGCCTGCTGCAAGTTATGCAGCCCTTTTTTCCAGCTCATAAATTTGTTTTGCCGTCTCATTCGCATATTATGCTGCATCTCTTTCTGCTGAGCCGGCGCATTCGCGCTTCTTCTTGCCCGTCTTCTGACTGGCTTTCAATGTCAACCGGCGCAGCGGCTTTTGTTTGACGTCGTGCTCTCGGCCTCATGAATAACTGATTAAAACCTTTTTGGTTTTTTGTGTCTTGCTCGCTGGAATGAGGCTGACTGAATGGCTGCTGCTGGCTCGGTGGTTCGTTGGTTTTCCTGGCTGTAGTGCTGCACAGCTAGCGCTTTCATTTTAAATGACTTGCCCGCTCTGGCGTCGAACAGGGAAGTGCAGTGTCACCAGCGAACGGGCGAGCGGGCGAGCGTAGCATATTACTTGGCCATTGTGGCCCGCTGTGATGATAAATAGCTGTTATATGGCTAGAGATTGTCAAGCGAACAGCTAAACGGCCAAGACTGATGATGGTGCTGTCAATTACGCCCGGCCTGGCCACATAATGGCTTTCCCAAGAGAAAACTGGACAGGCTAACAAATAAGATCGTAGATCAAAGTTAAGCTTTTTCAATAATCAGTAGACAACTGCAGCTAGTGCTATATGCTGAAAGTTCTCTTGCATATCATAAAGCTAAGTGTACTATAGCCTAAGTCCTTAAAGAGAAGAGATGGTTTCGAGCCCTAAAAGTAGCTGAATATGAGTACAAAGTCATACCAAGAACTTCTGCTGTGCTTCCGATTAAACAACCTCTAATAACTAGTGTTATACAAACTGTTATACGGATCATCATTCAACCCAACCTCCCTCTCTTCCCATTCTACTCTTTTCTAGCCTCTCAAATATAACAACTACTACCATTCAATCTGTTATACAACTCTACACACATCACAATTTCCATAAAACCCATTGCTAACCCAACTCATAAGGTCTGCACTAAAAAAAACTTTCAAACACCTGTCAATCTAGCTTAACCTTAACCTCGTACTAGTTAAAACTCTTCAACTAGTTCTTATGATACATCAATTCGAGGGAACTTTCGTCGTTATGTCGCACTTTCCCATGCTGTTATACGAAAAGTTTATAACACCTGTACGCAGCAGTCTATAAAGTCTTTGAAAGCTGGCATGCGAGTCGGCACAGCTGCTGCACAATTGCCCTAAGAAGTTCTGTGCTGTTCGTAATAGGTTCTCTCATTCTGTGCTTCGCCATTTTTGACAACTGTTATACGCAAGTTTTGTACGCAGCCATAATTTCTAGATGCTCAGCTGCATAAATTTCACATTTAACTGCTTACGAGTTGCAGCAATTCCCACTATCATTGAATCCAATTTTAGCAAAGCGTTTCCCCAGCCCACGCCCCTCCCTCGCAGCCGCCACGCCAACTCGGCTCTGGCCAACTGTTTCGACTCATAAATACAACATTATTTTCACCGTAAATCGCAGCGAGGATTGTCGACGTCTTCGTCTTCGCCTGTCTGTGCGCGTCTCAATTCACTGCACATTTTGCAAATAACAATCGCATTTTTTGAATAATTCAAATCCACTTTGTTGCCTCACGCTCCGTCCTCCTCCTGCTCTGCCCCCTATGTCTTTCCCTTTCTCTATTCTATTCTATTTTTTTTTTTTTTTTCTTTTCTGTCTGATTGTCCGTCCGCTCGTTCAGCCAACCATTTTGTTCTTTTTCTCGACATTTTTTTGCTTTAGCTGCTTTTGAATCGGGCAAAACGCTGTGGCATAAGAAAAGCTCCAGCCGGAGCCGTCAACTGGCAAGCGAATGTTTTTCTGCAGCCTTTGTTGGGGCAGCATAAAAAATGTATAGCATAGTTTTCTGCGTTCACACAGCACACACCCACACCCACACACTCACACATAGAGGCTGTGCTGTGCTGTGCTGCTACAACTATTATTAAGCTGTGCATCATTTATGCCAGTTTTTTAGTTGCCTCGCACTTTCGCATTTAAATTAATAATATTTAAATTTTGCGTTTTAAATTAAAAGCCAAATTGCGCAACGGTTACGTTTAACCCAAACCCAAACCCAAGCCACGACTCGACTCGACTCGACGCTGATTTCATTTAGTTGCGTTGCGTTGCATTGCGCTGAGTCGCTTGAATGATAGAAAGACCGGACCGTGCCCACAATTCAAAAATCAATTTTCATTTGCAAAAACGATTACATTCACATTCATTCAATGTTCGTTGGTTCGCAGTTCTTTTGGCGCCCCGCCTCTATCAATTTTTTCCATATGTGTGTGACTGTGTGTGGTTACTGCTGCTGCTGCTGTTGTTGTTGTTGTTGTGTTTGGTGCGCTGTGCTATCGGTTCCCTTACACTCGAATGAACTTTTATTCAATTTGCAAAGCAACCACAAGCTGCACAATAGCCGTTTTAAACACTCAACCAACCAGCGAACCAGCGACTGCCAAGCGAACGGCCATTTCGTCATTTCGATGGCAGGGGGCGGCAGCGGGCGGCAGGCGGTCCGCACCGGAACTCAGCCCGCTGCTTAACCTCAGTGGCAGTTCGGCACTGACATTTGCATGTCCAACTGTCTGCACTTTTCCGTCCTTCATTTAAATGCGGTAGAGGTAGTGGCGGCGGAGGGGGAGCAGGAGTCGCAGGCGGAGGTTGGGCGCTGCCAACCGACTAAAATATTCTCTCTCTCTCTACTGTGCATCGCAATTTTCGTGCGTTGAATCTTTATCTACTTCCTCAAACTGTTCTTTTTTTTCGAATGCATTTATTCATGTGCTGGCTGCAATTTGTTACAAAAAATAAAATTGTTATACGCAAAAAAACTGTTATACTGTTATACATAAAAAACTGTTATACGCAACAAAAAGCTGTTATACGTGTAATGGGCGACAAATATGCATGGGACATAGCTCCATTTTAATGCTGGCGCATACATCAGCTCCAGCCACCCTTCGCATAATGGGCCAACTAAAGACTAGGAAGAGAAAGAAATGAAAGAATAGGGGAAGAAGCACAACAGCAACAAAAAAAAAAAAAAAATTAAGAAGGAAAAAAACAATAAGTATGTAAAAATGAAACAAATACATAATAAACAAAACAATGGCGAAGGGCAGCGACGGCAGCAAACAAAAGAATGCGCTCGTAAAACCGAGATTTAGGCCGTGCCACATTTGTGACCAAAAATATATACAGAGAGCCGCACAGAAGCAGCAGCAGTAGCAGGAGCAGGAGTAGGAGCAGGAGCCGGAGCAGAGAATGGCACAGGAAGCAACCAGAGAGGAGCCGTCGCTATATAAAGGGAAACTTGGGCTCCTGCTCATTTTATGCGCTAACTGAATCAGCCCGACAACCATTAACTGAGGCCATTTTATTCAATTTTGCTGTCCCCTGCCCGCCTCCTGCCCCACAGAACAGAGAAAAGCAACAGCAACAACAATACAAAAAGGACAACAGCCGAGCGGAAAACGGAAGTGTGTACGCAGGTTATGCAGGAGTTGAAACTGAAGCCGTAGCCGTACAGCTAGTAGAGCCGGACTTGGCCCAAACTGTAGTGGCTCAGTCTGCTCCTGCTGCTGCTGTTGCGGCTACTGTTGCTGCTGCTGCTCCTGCTCCTGCTGCTGCTGCTACGTGTGACAATAATAAAAGTTTTTATTGCCATCGCACACAGCTGCGACTGCTGGGCCAGTACGCAGCACACAGTACGTAGAGTGGATCTAGAAATTAGCCCCTGCCGTCTGAGCCAATTTCGTCATACACACCGTGCATGTACCTCACCTCACCTCACCTCGCCATGCCTCGCCTCTCTTGGCCATCGTGTAATCTCTGTCGTAAATTTTGTCCGACAATGTTTGAAAAATGCCACAGAACGAGATGGAGAGTGAGAGCGAGAGAGAATGAGAATCTGAAACAAAATTCCAAACAGCCAGAGGACTATGGCAGCTAAGCTATTGTTCCGTAAAGGCGAATTATCAACAAACAGATCTATTATACTCGCACAGATCATATTGCATTGAGCAGGTGTCAGTGCCTAAAATTCGGATAATTAATTTATTTTCCATTAGGGTAAATCGCAGATAAACTCAAATCCCATTGCAGAATTATATTCAATATTCTGTGGACTATTTTAAGTGTTGCTAGCACATGCTCGTATATTACAAAGTGTCATACTAAAGTATGCAAGGATATGAAACTATTATACTGCAGGCAATACTTACCAGAGACTTTATAATTTCTTAGCTTAGTCAGCAATCAACTTCTATACTGTTCAGCTCCTCTTCGACTGTTATACTGTTATACTTATAAACTGTTATACTGTAATACTCATAAACTGTTATACTGATAACAAAAACACACAAATAGGGGGATTAGTAAAATTTGATTTGCTATATTCATTTTCAGTAACTTATTACAGCAAACTTATATATATGTGTGTATATATATATTTATATGTATATATATAACTTTGTATTATATATATTTATATGTAAATATATATGAAATAATATATATAAGTCGGAGGATTATCAAAATTTTTGAACATGCACTTTGCAATCAGCATAACTTAACCAAATCGAGATTTCTTGGGGGTCGGAAGGGACGAACAGAACGTTTGATCCAACGTTTTTTCAAGAATTTATGAACCAACGGCCATAGGTTGCGGTGCTGTCTGCCAGTGATGGTGTACAGAATATTCTGCTTCATATAGAATCGAATGACGGGCTGCATCTGCTTATCGAAGGCAGCCAATCGGGCCTGCACCACCTTGGGATGGTCGTCGACGCGACGCGTCAGCGGGTCGCCCGTCACGTCGTCATGGCCGGGCACTCGTGGGGCCGCCGAGCCCTCGTTGTAGACGCGACCCGATGGCATGTGCACCAGCCGATTCTTGAGCATGTTTACTATGGCCTCATCGGGTATATTCAGATTGATCACCATGTCCAGCTTGACCAGGCCCTGTAGGTGCTTAGCCTGAGCCAGATTGCGCGGATATCCGTCCAGTATGAAGTTACGGTCCTCTGCCTTGTACACGGCCGTGGCAATGACGCCGTGCAGCAGATGATCGGGCACCAGCTTGCCCTGGCTGATCATGTGGAAGGCATGCTTGCCCAGGGCCGTACCCTGGTGTATGTGCTTTCGCAATATATCTCCGGCAGCTATGTGCACGGCACCAAAGGTCTTGACTATCATGTCGGACACATAGCCCTTGCCGCTGCCCGGCGGACCCATGATGAGTGCACGAAATCCACGCATTCTCGCCATCAGACAAACACTAACGAACATTTTCACTTGCGATTCGCATATCAATTTTGAAGTCAATTATTAAAAATATATGTAAAAAGAGCTCATCTGCCTTGAACTATTACCAATTTTACACGAGAAAAGTTGGAGACTAAAGAATAAATAAATTTTGCTAATGATGATGTCGAAAATTTAATTTCTAGATCCAAATTTAGGTTTTTGAAAAGTGAATGTGTTGAAGTTTGAGGGAAAAACAAAAAAAAAAATGAAACTAATAATTAACGAATGACAATTGAGAAATAGGTGAAGTTGGGAAGAGGGTTGCGGATAGAAGAAGTTAGAGGCTTCGAGGTAGAGCAATTATATATATATGGTATCATGAAATGAGGAAGAATGAGATAGAGGAATGGTATAGGAATCGAGAGAGTGAAGTATAAGACTCGGGCATAATGGTATTGTATGTAGAGAAGGTTGAGCTGCAGTGAGAAATCGTGGGATAGATGAATGGTATGGGAATCGAGAGAAATATATAGTACAGCATAGTAATGAATAGAGAGATGGAGGAATGATATATTGAATTCAGATATGTCTAAGGCATGATGGTATTTTGTATGTATGCTTATAAAGTAGCTAGTCATGCACTCCCTCTTAAAACGCTCTCTCCTAGAGACATTTTCGGTCAATTTATTCAGCGCTAATTGAAATACTTTTCTCTTAATGGAGCTGTCCTCAAGTATCTGCCAAATGCGTTGCTCTCTAATTAGAAATAGTTGAAGCTAAATACATAGTTAGTGCTAGTTAATCGAAAGAAAAACGGAAATGACAACGAAAACAAATGACGAAAATTTGAGCGCACAATTTTTGCTATGCGGCCAGGGCCGTAGTAAGTCCAGTCCGTCCGCAGTCCGTAGTTCGCAGTCCGGAGGCCCTCAAGTGGCCTACGTGTGTCACATGCACAATGAAACACAGACCGGGCTAACGCCGAACGGAGCCACCCGCCCCATTAGATATCGTCTTTGTTTTTGAAAAATTGTCTACTTCATTTTAGGAGGGGCCCGCTTCTGCAGCGAGAATGGCCATGAAATATAACAGTACTCATTATGTTGGGATTACGATGCAATCAACGCAGAAAAAAGTGTCAGTCAAATAAATCACTCGCCAAACATGAGGAATGGGCGCACACAGACCCGCCCACCCACCATTTGCAAGCCACCACCACCAGCAGCACCACCCGCACCACCCGCACCGCTCACTTACCCACCCACGCTCTGCACGCAATGCGACTTGACAAGAAGCACGCAAAATATATATTTTCGGGCCTCTGCACGCTGCCAATGTCAACGCCAAGAGTTCCAACCGTTTGTCTGTCCTTCTGTGTGCGTGTGTGTGTGTGTGTGTGTGTGGGAGCATAGTTGAAGCTGACAACGAGCACGACATTGGAATCGGAGAAGGCGTCAACTGAAGCTGCGGCTGTCAGTCCACTTCGTGCGCCAGGATAAATGGCGTTCCTTTTCCTGTTTTCCTGTTTGTGGCGGCATTTTCCAGAGCGCCTGTTTCCTTATTTTCCTCTTTGCCATTTAAAGTAAGGAATTTTCTTTTTTTTTTTTTTTAATTATGCACCAGCTAGACTTACACATTAAAGTTCTCCCCATACCAAAGTGACAGCCAATCAGGGCTAAGTAACTCATTAATTATCTGCAGGAAAGATTTACTTAAACGAAAAGTGATAAAAATGCGGAAGATTGAATGCCAAACTGAGCAATTTCGTATTGGGGGTGATGTATTCGGGGTAGTTAGGGGGTAGTTTTGGGGGGTGTAGCACAGGCAAAGTGAAATGGTTTAAATTTATAAGAAAAGTAAGCAAGATATTTAGATTGATTTAGATTGCAGCATTCCATGAGTTAAATGATATGCCAGTCTGTAATGCTAATGAGCTGATGTGTTCATATATCATATAACATCATCATCATCATTATCATCAGCTGAACTTAGCTTCGATCTGCTTCACTTGCTCATCTTTTTCTCAAGCCATTCTGCTGCCAGTTTATCAATTATTTTTACTTCATTTTCATCTTATGGAAAGACGTGACTTTCTAGCATAGCTCTGACCTTTTCAATTTTCCACTTTTCTTGCCTGAACAGTTTACTAATTATTTTCAAATCAAAACTTAAAACTCAACGCTGAACTTGAGCTGTGGGTGTTTGGGAATTGGACTCTGTCTTGCTTTCATTCTCTCTCGCTCTTTCTCTCTCTCTTTCTCTGTCTCTCTCTCTATTTCTGTTCAGCTCAGTTACATGTTGGCCCCGTGATAATCATCTCGGAGTCGTGCCAAACTTCATTTCAAACAATTCAACGCGGCCAGCCAACAACAATGGCGCAACAAATGAGCATGCGATTTGCTCCTGCGGCGACTCCTGTCCCCAACCCCCGCTCCCCTCTCGGTACTATGCACAGCTTATCTCAGTTTCATTACAGTTATTGTCGTTGTCATCAGCTCTGGTGCCATGTGCCACAATGTTGGGCAGAGAATAAAACTTTAAGTTCCTGCTAACCCTACGGGTAACTGTCTTGCCCGTTAAAAGCCCCTTTTCCTTTAGCCAGTCAGCTCTGCTTACTTCTTAGCTGCAATTTCGCATACCCACAAACAGCACCAGCAGCAGCAGCAGCAGCAACAATAACAACAGCAGCAGCAGCAACAACAACAACTGAAGGCAGCAGCAACACTTCCGCTAGCTGCTTGAAATAAAAACTTGATTCAGCGGGGAGCAAGGAGCGTGGAGCGTGGAGCGTGGCGCGTGGAGGCAGCAGCGAGCAATTCTAAGCACCGCAACAAAAGCTGAGCACAACATCAACATCTAAATGCAATGCCATAGAAAAATGCAAAAAAAAAAAAAAAAAAAATGGAAAATAAAAAAATAAGCGAAAGAAAAAACGCAGTTTCCGTGCGGCAAACAAGCAAAAACAAAAAGCAGCCAACAACAGCTAGAAAAAAAATAGAATAAAACAAAAAAAAATGCTTAACAAAAATAATAATAAAAATAAAAAATACTTAAGCGTTGCCAGCGTCGATTTGTGCCGCCCACAAGACGCTGGGCGTGCCACGCTGGCGGAGGATGGGGGGCGTGGCAGTGCCAGCTTCACACTCGAACACGTAGCAGCTCGCGGCGTACGCTGCCATGCCCCCGCCTCCGCTGCGTGTGGCTGCGTTTTAAGTGCGCCAGCTTAAAAGTATGCTACAAGTTTTTGCATTTGCTTAAAAGCCCGCGTTTTGGGACTCGTTCGAACCAATTTGGCCGTAAATGCCATTTGCCACATCCAAATTTATATGTATATTTTTCCTCGCATTTTTATTTCTTGGTCTTAGCCTTCGCCTTCGTCTTGGCCTTTGCCTAATGCTGCATTCATTTTGGCATTTTTTTTTATAGTTTGAAGCATTTTGATGCGTATTTATGCGCTTGCATAAATTGATTTATATACAGCATAGAAATGCAAACAGCAGCTGCTCTCCCACTCCCTATGGCTCTCTCTCTCTCTCTCTCTCTCTCTGTCTCCCTCTTTATCTGTGGCTAGTCATTTGCCTGTTTTTCGTATGATTTATTAGTTTGGGTTCTAAACATTGCGGTTGACTCGACATGGCAGGGCGTCCAATGTATATAGAAATCTAGTTTTGTGCTCGGCTAATGCCAAATATGTTAAATAATAAATATAAATGCATATATATGTATATAACAAATATATGTGATGTATTTGCTGAACAATGCATGTATCTTTCGCATGTTCAACTGTCTGCCCTGTCTGTCTGTCGGTCTGTCCGTCTGTCTGTTGCTCATATCTCCATTTGTCTGTCTGCCTGTCTATTTTGTCTCGTGGTTAGGCATAAACCCCGTTTATCTGCCAGCGTATGCGAAACATTTTCGAATTATTTCCAACAGCGTTAGCGTAGGTGCCATAACAACAACAACAACAGCAACAACAACGCCAGCAACAACACCAACAACCAACAACATCCTTGGGTTGGGTCAACAGTTTCGGTAGCTGTTTGGCGGTGACGTTTTTGTATAATAAATTTTTCTTGTTCAGTGGTTTTGTACAATCAACATTCGATGTAAAAACAGTGCAAACAAGTGCAACGCATACAAGCGCACTTAAAGTGCATACACCAACACACACACTCAAACACATGCACACATACATGCAAAATGCCACCGCAGGACTTAACAGAAGCAACTACAACGATAGAGAATGTGAGCTTGCCTGGACAAGCATCCTCTTGCAACTCTCCATGTGTGTGTGCCTGTGTATGTGTGTGTGTGTGTGCTATGGGGCTGCTTGCATATGCATGCGAAAATGTTAAAGCAAATAAGAAAAAGTGTGAAAACGAGCAGCTTGTCATGTAAACAAGTAAACCAATAAGTGCAAGAGTGCGAGCGGAACAGAGGGTGCGAGCAACAGAGAGAGAGAGAGAGAGAGTGTGTGTGTGTGTGTGTGTGTGTGTAAGTGTGACCAGACTTTAAATGTGTCCAGAGCAGCCTTTCAGCTGCTAGTTACCCGGAGCAGCACTCGAAAGCCAACAACAGCAACAAACAATAAAAAATCTCAGACATATTCAAACATTTGATTGCCAGCCCAACAACAGCAGCAACAACAACAACAACAACAACAACAACAACTAGCAGCAGCACCTTTTCATTGCTATGGATTCGTGAAGCATTGGCCTGCTAATAAATTTCCCCTCCATTATTCATAGTTAACTGAACAATGAGCTCAAACTGTTGATTGGTTGCAAGTTGAATACATGCACATATGCATACACACACACACACACATAAATATGTAAATATGTATGTGTATACCAGCACATGCAAAAGTTACTCTGAGCTGCGCTCTTAATTTGAGCAATTTCTTTTTGAAGTGGGCTTAATTTTCTCCGCATCGCAGTTAACAGAGATACATACATATATAAATGTTTACCAACTATAACATTTATCGTTTAACATAGCTTTGGCCGGTAGCGGCCATATGTTGGCCAAACTTTAAGCCACTTGCTGAAGCTGTTCACTCATGATTCATTAAGCAATCATTAGCTTTACCCAGTAAGGCTAAAATGGAGCTATGTTAAGTCTATGTTAAGTCCGAATCTAATGCATGCTTGGTTGCTGAATACATAATGTTAGCATATTTCTGTATTATGAGTAAGCAATTGCCCTATCTAGTTCACAGAGCTAAATAGCATGCTGTTAAGTTGATGTAAATTCAATGTTAAGTTG